CAGTGTCTTGAACGATTCCTTATTGAGGTATCGGAACGCTATTCTCAGGTTTGCCAGGCGCCCGTATGCTGCAGCGGTTATTTGGTTGATGTGTGCCTCCGGTGATGTACTCGGTGTTATGGTCACCCCAAGGTCTTTCTCCCTGAGTGAGGTCTGTAGTCTTTGTCCACCTAGCCTATATTCTGTCTGCGGTCTTCTTTGCCCCTCCCCAATCTTCATGACTTTGCATTTGGCTGGATTGAATTCGAGGAGCCAGTTACTGGACCACATGTCCAGCCTCTCCAGGTCTCTTTGCAGTCCTGCCTCATCCTCGTCCGATTTAATTCTTCTCATCAACTTCACGTCATCTGCGAACAGGGACACTTCAGAGTCTATTCCTTCCATCATGTCGTTCACATATATCAAAAATAGCACTGGTCCTAGAACTGACCCCTGTGGGACCCCGCTCGTAACAGGCGCCCACTGTGATACCTCTTCACGTACCATGACTCGTTGCTGCCTCCCTGTCAGGTATTCCCTTATCCATTGCAGTGCCCTTCCTTTTATGTGTGCCTGATCCTCCAGCTTCTGCACTAATCTCTTGTGGGGAACTGTGTCAAAGGCCTTCCTGCAGTCTAGGAAAACGCAATCTACCCAACCCTCTCTCTCGTGTCTTACTTCTGTGTGTGTGTGTGTGTGTGTGTGGGAGGGTGGTAGCAGGTGTACATGTGGGAGGGGAGAGGTGTGTGTGTGTGTGTGTGTGTGTGTGTGTGTGTGTGGGAGGGTGGTAGCAGGTGTACATGTGGGAGGGAGAGGTGTGTGTGTGTGTGTGTGTGTGTGTGTGTGTGTGTGTGGGAGGGTGGTAGCAGGTGTACATGTGGGAGGGGAGAGGTGTGTGTGTGTGGGAGATGAGGGATGGGGGTAGGTATTGCAGCAGGTGTTGCTGCTGTTGTTGTTGCTGCTGCTATCACAACAGCAGCGACTACAGCAGCAGTAGTAACAACAGCAGCAATAGCAACTGCAAAGCAACAGGAGCAACTACAGCAGCAGTAGTAACAACAGCAGCAATAGCAACTGCAAAGCAACAGGAGCAACTACAGCAGCAGTAGCAACAACAGCAGCAATAGCAACTGCAAAGCAACAGCAGCGACTACAGCAGCAGTAGCAACAACAGCAGCAATAGCAACTGCAAAGCAACAGGAGCAACTACAGCAGCAGTAGTAACAACAGCAGCAATAGCAACTGCAAAGCAACAGGAGCAACTACAGCAGCAGTAGCAACAACAGCAGCAATAGCAACTGCAAAGCAACAGCAGCGACTACAGCAGCAGTAGTAACAACAGCAGCAATAGCAACTGCAAAGCAACAGGAGCAACTACAGCAGCAGTAGCAACAACAGCAGCAATAGCAACTGCAAAGCAACAGCAGCGACTACAGCAGCAGTAGTAACAACAGCAGCAATAGCAACTGCAAAGCAACAGGAGCAACTACAGCAGCAGTAGTAACAACAGCAGCAATAGCAACTGCAAAGCAACAGGAGCAACTACAGCAGCAGTAGCAACAACAACAGCTACAACAGAAACAGTAGCAACTACAACAGCAACAATAGCAACTACAACAGCAGCAGTAGCAACTACAACAGCAACAGTAGCAACTACAACAGAAACGGTAGCAACTACAAGAGCAGCAGCAGTAACTACAACAGCAGCAGTAGCAACTACAACAGAAACAGTAGCAACTACAACAGCAACAGTAGCAACTACAACAGAAACGGTAGCAACTACAAGAGCAGCAGCAGTAACTACAACAGCAGCAGTAGCAACTACAACAGCAGCAGTAGCAACTACAACAGAAACAGTAGCAACTACAACAGCAACAGTAGCAGCTACAACAGCAACAGTAGCAACTGGAACAGCAACAGTAGCAACTACAACAGAAACAGTAGCAACTACAACAGCAACAGTAGCAACCACAACAGCAGCAGTAGCAACTACAACAGAAACAGTAGCAACTACAACAGAAACGGTAGCAACTACAACAGCAACAGTAGCAACTACAACAGCAGCAGTGGCAACTACAACAGAAACAGTAGCAACTACAGCAGAAACAGTAGCAACTACAACAGAAACAGTAGCAACTACAACAGAAACAGTAGCAACTACAACAGCAGCTGTAGCAACTACAACAGAAACAGTAGCAACTACAACAGCAACAGTAGCAACTACAACAGCAACAGTAGCAACTACAACAGCAGCAGTAGCAACTACAGCAGAAACAGTAGCAACTACAACAGCAGCTGTAGCAACTACAGCAGAAACAGTAGCAACTACAACAGCAGCTGTAGCAACTACAACAGCAACAGTAGCAACTACAACAGCAACAGTAGCAACTACAACAGCAACAGTAGCAACTACAACAGAAGCAGTAGAAACTACAACAGAAACAGTAGCAACTACAACAGCAGCAATAGCAACTACAACAGCAACAGTAGCAACTACAACAGCAACAGTAGCAACTACAACAGCAACAGTAGCAACTACAACAGAAGCAGTAGCAACTACAACAGCAACAGTAGCAACTACAACAGCAGCAGTAGCACTACAACAGAAGCAGTAGCAACTACAACAGCAACAGTAGCAACTGCAACAGCAACAGTAGCAACTACAACAGAAACAGTAGCAACTACAACAGAAGCAGTAGCAACTACAACAGCAACAGTAGCAACTACAACAGCAGCAGTAGCAACTACAACAGAAGCAGTAGCAACTACAACAGCAACAGTAGCAACTACAACAGAAACAATAACTATAGCAGCAATAACAGTAACTGCAATAAAAGCAACAATAACGGTAGCAGGTTCAGCAACAGTAACAACAAGTGCATCAAAACAACAGTGGGGGAAACATCAACAACAGCAGCAGCATAAACAGTAAAATCAGCAGCAATAAAACCAGCAGCAACAGTACTAACAGCAACAACAGTAGTACGAACAGCAATGACAGCAGCATTAGTAGTACTAACAACAATAGCAGTAGCAACAGTGGTACCAACACCAACAGTAGTAACAAGAGCAACAGTAATAACAGCAGCAACAGTAGTAGCAACAGTAACAGTACTAGCAACAGTAACAGAAGTAACAACAACAGTAGTAACAAGATTAACAGTACTAACAACAGTAACAGTAGTAACGACAACAACTGTACTAGCAACAGTAACAGAAGTAACAACAGCAACAGTAGTAGCAACAGTAACAGTAGTAACAACAGCAACAGTAGTAGCAACAGTAACAGTAGTAGCAACAGTACTAGCAACAGTAACAGTAGTAACAACAGCAACAGTACTAGCAACAGTAACAGTAGTAACAACAACAGTACTAGCAACAGTAACAGTAGTAACAACAGTACTAGCAACAGTAACAGTAGTAACAACAGCAACAGTACTAGCAACAGTAACAGTAGTAACAACAGTACTAGCAACAGTAACAGTAGTAACAACAGTACTAGCAACAGTAACAATAGTAACAACAGCAACAGTAGTAGCAACAGTAACAGTAGTAACAACAGTACTAGCAACAGTAACAGTAGCAACAACAGCAACAGTACTAGCAACAGTAACAGTAGTAACAACAGTACTAGCAACAGTAACAGTAGCAGCAACAGTACTAGCAACAGTAACAGTAGTAACAACAGCAACAGTAACAGTAGTAACAACAGTACTAGCAACAGTAACAGTAGTAGCAACAGTACTAGCAACAGTAACAGTAGTAACAACAGTACTAGCAACAGTAACAGTAGTAACAACAGTAACAGTACTGGCAGCAGCAATAGTGACGGCACTAGCAGCACATGCAGCAACAGTAGAAGCAACAGCAAGAGTAATAACAGAAGCAACAGAAAACAGTAGTTTAAAAGAACTGTTTAGCAACAACAGAAGTGTGACAATAATGATAACAGAATCTGCTTCAAAAGCATCAACAACAGTAACAACAGCAACAACAACAGTACAACAACAGTACAACAACAGTAATAACAGCAACAACAACAACAACAACAGTAACAACAACAACAGTAATAACAACAGTAATAACAACAACAGCAACAACAAAAATAGCAGCAGCAGCAGCAAAAACAAGAATAACAACAGCAGCAGCCGCAGCAACAGCAACAACAGCAGTAGCAGCAAGAACAGCAATAAAGGCAACAATGCCAGCAACAGCAACACCAGTAGCGACAATAACAGCAACAGCAGCAGTAACAACAGCAGCAGCAACAACAGCAGCGGTAGGAACAGCAGCAGCAGCTGCTACAACAGTTGTAGCAATAATAACAGCAGAATTAAAAGCAACAGGAACAATAACAGCAGAAACAGCAGGAGCAATAACAGCAGCAACAACAGCAGGAGCAATAACAGCAGCAACAACAGCAGGGGCAATAACAGCAGCAACAACAGCAGGAGCAATAACAGCAGCAACAACAGCAGGGGCAATAACAGCAGCAACAACAGCAGGAGCAATAACAGCAGCAACAACAGCAGGGACAATAACAGCAGCAACAACAGCAGGAGCAATAACAGCAGCAACAACAGCAGGGGCAATAACAGCAGCAACAACAGCAGGGGCAATAACAACAGCAACAACAGCAGGGGCAATAACAGCAGCAACAACAGCAGGGGCAATAACAGCAGCAACAACAGCAGGGGCAATAACAGCATCAGGGAAAGTAATAAAAGCAGCAGGTGCAGCAATACCAGCAGTAGGGGCAGCAGTAATAGCAGAATGGGTAGCAAAAACAGCAGCATGGGCAAGAAGAGCAGCATGGGCAGCAAGAAGAGCAGCATGGGCAGCAAGAAGAGCAGCATGGGCAGCAAGAAGAGCAGCATGGGCAGCAGCATGGGCAGCATTAACAACAGCATGGGCAGCAGCAGGGGCAGAGTGTGGGTTGCCACCCACCACGAGGTGCCACCACCACCACCTCCGTAACTTGCACACGACACTACCTTGGCACCCTAGTGCCGTGTGCAAAAGGGTATTCTTGGCAGTGGGCGGCAGGGAAGGGGGCGGCACCCCCATGAAAACCTCCGGCCGGGTTCTCTTGGTCTTCAATCGTTTAGGGACGGGGAGTCGAGAGGCAGTCTCCATCAGAGAAGGAAGCAGCCTGTCTGTAGTGTTACCTGTGTGAAGGTAGGGGGCCTCTCCCGTGTTAACACAAACACGGTGTCTTTAAATAACACCCCGTGTGATAATACCAATTGTCTGGGAACTCCTGCAGCCGTGTCGGCGCCGGCTGTGGGAGTTCGAAGGTGGAAATATCACTTCGAAGTGCTTGAGGCCGATGGAGGCTCCGGCTAGTTCGACTTCTTCTTCGCCCGGCCACAATGGCTTTCAAGAGGGTGCCAGCCTTAATCGCCGTCAGGATCATTAATAATCCCCAGACACTTTAGTTCGTAAGCTACTTGTTAATCCCCCTCCTTCCCTCACTCCCTCACTAACTCCCTCCTTCACTCCATCCCTCACAGGCAGGAGGGATTGTGTGTTCGCGACTGAGAAGAGTTGGTGTTAGACATCGAAGTCAGAGGGACTTGGTAGTGTTGTGGTCTGTTGTTGGTGCTGTGAGAGGCAGGTGTTCATGGTGGGGTCTGCAGGTGTTCATGATGGGATCTGCAGGTGTTCATGGTGGGGTCTGCAGGTATTCATGATGGGAACTGCAGGTGTTCATGGTGGGGTCCACAGGTGTGCACGCTGAGATATGCAGGTGTGCACGCTGTTAGCTACAGGTGTTTACAGTGGGACCTACGTTGTTTACAATGGGATCTAAAGTTGTTTACAGTGGGATCTACAGGTTTTTACAATGGGATCCACAGGTCATCATAAATTGACCTAAATTGCTATTCATATTGTGTTCTAAGGACGTGTACATTGTGCTCTAAGGACATGCACACTGTGCCTTAAGTTCACCACCCATTACATTAGCCTATTAAAAAATCATGCACATTTATTAATGTGAATGTTGGTATAAAACCATTTCAACAGTTTTAAATGCGAGTGGGTGTGGACGATCACCTTGTGCAACTCCTGACGTAGGTATACAAGGTGTTTCAAATTGATAGACCCAATTTTAGTATATTCTGCTTTTAAATTGGGTCCATTGCTTTGAAACATTCGAATATTCCTGAGGGACATCTTTCTTCTTCACTGGATCAGATTAATGTGTTTTGGTTTCCAGTGCTCGTAACACCTGCTGTTGTGTAAATAACTGGTGTGGAATACGGACAGGTTGATAAATGAGACACCTGTGTGGCAATAACTGGGTTACTTTTCTTGTGGGAACATTTCGCCAGCTAGTGGCTTCTTCAGTCCAGTGCAGAGATGTGGTGGAAGATGAGAAGTGTGAGACAATCAGTCTCTGACTCCAGGCTCGGGGACTGATTGCCCCCACACTCCTCATCCTTCGCCGTTTCTCTGTATTGGACTGGAGAAGCCACTGGATGGCGAAACGTTTCCAGAATAAAGATATTCAAGTATTGCACAAGTACGACTCACGAAATCGTAATGAAACGATTGCAAACAAACCATACCACGGGTGGGGTTTGAACCCGCGGTCAGAGAGTTTCAAAACTCCAAGTATCTTATTTATCAACCTTCTCTATAACACCGTCTCTTTCTTTATTTTGTGAAGGTAACATTCAGTCATTCTCTCATTATTATTGTTGCTTTTATTTTCACCGTTTCACGAGACCGTAAGACTGAAGGAGCACTGCATCAGGCCTACTGGCCTATGCTAGACAGTCCAGTTCACACCCACGTAACTTTCCAACCTATTTTTAAAGGTAACTAAAATTACCTGTCAGTTTGTTACACTCATATACAACTCTACTGCCAAATTACTGCATTTCTACACCCCTTTCTGAACCCATTGTTGCTAGTCTTGTCTTACTTAGAGATTTTCAGCACGATATTTAGATCCCCCTTATTTATTCATGTCTTGCATATGTACACTACAGTCATGTCTCCCCTAATTCTACGTTACTCCAGAGGTGCAGACTCAGTGTCCTCAGTCTGTCCTCATAGGAAAAACTGCTGATACACGGGATCAACTTTGTCATCCTCCTCTTTGTTTTCCAGCGAATTGATGCCCATTTTGGTAATATGGTGACCAGACTTTCGCAGCATAACTAAATGAGGCCTTACCGAAGATATATAAACTTGAAGTATAACCTGAGGACTTCTGTTATTTATACATCTTGATATGAAGCCAAGAATTCTATCAGTTTTATTGCTAACAGTTATGTACTGTTGTCTTGGCTTTAGATTACTGCTGACCACAACTCCTAAATATTTTTCGCATTCAGTTTGAGTGATTTGTACCTTTCTTTATTATCCTGTGGCCTCTTCTAGACCTCTTCTAGGTCTATCAGTGAGCGAGGTTTTCTCCAGTGCTTCATTGTTTAAATTGTTATCACTAAAAGTCTTGGTATGTGTCACTGTCTAAGACAAGCACCACTCAACAGTCATTAATTATTATTTCGTGTCTTCAAAGCAACTAAGAATTCTGGCAGGATTTGCAGACACATTTAGTAGAGGTTTTACAGATGGTCGACGCATAACCGTGAAAAAATTCGCCTGGATTTGATTCCCTCTGGCAAATCCTGTAAATAAATCAGAAACATTACTGGAGCAGGAACCGAACCTTGTAGCACTCCAGTGGTGATGTAAATGCCAGCAGTGATCATGTGACACCACGGAAGTTCTCAGTCAGATGACTAAAAACTCCTGACTCACGCCAGGAAACACTTGTGCTGTTTCCTGACAAACTTTACCTAACCTAACCTAACCCTACGGGTGATGTAAGTGCCAGCACTGATCTTGTGGCACTCCAGTGATATCTCGCGGCACTGACACTGGTAATGTAAGTGCCATCATTGATCTTGTGGCACTCCAGTAATATCTCGCGGCACTGACACTGGTAATGTAAGTGCCAGCACTGATCTTGTGGCACTCCAGTGATATCTCGCGGCACTGACACGGGTAATGTAAGTGCCATCATTGATCTTGTGGCATCCCAATAATATCTCGTGGCCCTGACACTAGTAATGTAAGTGCCAGCACTGATCTTGTAGCACCCCAGTGATATCTCGTGGGACTGACACTGGTAATGTAAGTGCCAGCACTGATTTTGTGGCACCCCAGTCATAACCCGCACTTGGGAGACGCAAACTGATGAGGACGTTTCGGACCGACTTGTACCATTAGCAAGTCACACTGAAGGGAGAAGAGAAAGAGGCTAGAAGATGCACGACAGAAGGAGGGGGAAGGGACTGGTAGAACGGGAGGAGGGAGTAACAGTAGTAGTAGTAATATTAGTGGTGGTAATGGTATTATTATTATTATTATTATTATTATTATTAGTAGTAGTAGTAGTAGTAGTAGTAATAGTAGTAGTAGTAGTGGTAGTAGTAGTAGTAGTAGCTATATCAGCATTTACCTAAAGGTTTTTGCTATAATTTAAAGTCAGGCCAATAACTGAAAAGGCTTGGTTTAAAAGGCTTGGTTTAAAAGGCTTGGTTTAAAAGGCTTGGTTTAAAAGGCTTGGTTTAAAAGGCTTGGTTTAAAAGGTTTGAGGCCATTTCTGAACATTGCTAAACGTGTCATATTTCCACATGTTCACCTATAATTGAACACCAAGGTGTTCCCTCACCTGGTCTCGTTGCTTGTGTTCCTAATATGAACACGTTGAACATGTTCACACAGATGTTCATGTACAAGAACTTGCGTTCACTTTGAACATTGTTGGCTATGTAGGTGTCAGTGTTCACACACGTGTGTGTGTGTGTGTGTGTGTGTGTGTGTGTGTTCTATTTTTGCATAGTAGAAGTTATTTAGATGTGAACAAATGAAATGAACAATTTTCAAGTGAACACCTGTTGTGGTGAACATTGCTATAGTGAACATTTGTTGTGTTGAACTTTACTATAGTGAACACCTATTGAATGGAACATTACTATAGTGAACCTCTGCTGTGATGAACATTCTTATAGTGAACACCTGTTGTGGTGAACATTCCTATAGTGAACACCTGTTGTGGTGAACATTCCTATAGTGAACACTTGTGACGAACATCATTATAGTAAACACATGTTGTAGTGAACATTCCTATAGTGAACACTTGTTATGGTGGACATTCCTATAGTGAACACTCGTGAACATCACTATAGTGAGCACCTGTTGTGATGAACATTCTTACAGTGAACACTTGTGAACATCACTATAGTGAACACTTGTTGTGATGAACATTCTATAGTGAACACCTGTTGTACTGAACATTCCTATATTGAACACTTGTTGTGTGAACATTCTATACTGAACACCTGTTGTACTGAACATTCCTATATTGAACACTTGTTGTGTGAACATTCTATACTGAACACCTGTTGTACTGAACATTCCTATATTGAACACTTGTTGTGTGAACATTCTATAGTGAACACCTGTTGTACTGAACATTCCAAAGTGAACATTTGTTGCAAACATTATTATAGTGAACACCTGCTGTGCTGAACGATCCTATAGTGAACATTCTCCAGTATTGAACAAGATGAACTGAAAAAGAAAGTTAATTGATAAGTGAGGCTCTGTGGCACTAAGTGCCAGTGAGTGCCACGGTGCTAGGGCAGTGTCAGTATGGTGCCAGGACAGTGTCAATATGGTGCCAGGACAGTGTCAATATGGTGCCAAGACAGTGTCAATATGGTGCCAAGACAGTGTCAATATGGTGCCAAGACAGTGTCAATATGGTGCCAAGACAGTGTCAATATGGTGCCAGGACAATGTCAATATGATATCAAGACAGTGTCAATATGGTGCCAGGACAATGTCAATATGATATCAAGACAGTGTCAATATGGTGCCAGGACAATGTCAATATGATATCAAGACAGTGTCAATATGGTGCCAGGACAATGTCAATATGATACCAAGACAGTGTCAATATGGTGCCAAGACAGTGCCAATATGGTGCCAAGACAGTGTCAATATGGTGCCAAGACAGTGTCAATATGGTACCAGGACAGTGTCAATATGGTACCAAGACAGTGTCAATATGGTGCCAAGACAGTGCCAATATGGTGCCAAGACAGTGTCAATATGGTGCCAAGACAGTGTCAGTATGGTGCCTCAGTGCCACGGGTACAGGAAGGCAGCTGGCCCTGTTTTTTTGGCACTCTGTTCATCAGCCCTAAAATAGCGGCGCCACTCAGTGCCAAAAATAACTCATGGATGTGTGCCGGCTAGTGCCTACACACACACACACACACACACACACACACACCAGGGGCCAAGAGCTATGAATCGACCCCTGAAACCATAATTAGGTAAGTACACACACACACACACACTAGAAAAAGAATTGAAAATTACAAAAAGCTTGAGGTCCCTTAGGGACTAACTCACATCATCCTGTCAGTTCTTTGAACCATTTATTTACTAGACTATGTACTCAACTCACTGACGTCTTCCTTAGGTCACTAGACCATGTACTCAACACACTGACGTCTCCCACAGGTCACTACACCATGTACTTAACACACTGACGTCTTCCACAGGTCACTACACCATGTATTCCACTCACTGACGTCTTCCACAGGTCACCATGTACTCAACACACTGACGTCTCCCACAGGTCACTAGACCATGTACTCAACACACTGACATCTCCCACAGGTCACTAGACCATGTACTCAACACACTGACGTCTTCCACAGGTCCACCACCGCCGCAGAAATGCCCTTCAAGCCTCCATCTACCCCAAAATGCCCCAAGTGCGAGAAATCTGTATACCACGCCGAGGCTCGGGTGGTGGGCGACGTGTCCTTCCATAAGGAGTGCTATAAGTGCAGTAAGTCACCTGCCTTTGTTTACAACTCTCCATTAAGTTGCATTTTCCAGATAAATCAGACACTTGTGAAACATTTGGATGTCTTCATTCTGGAAGGCTAACCTGTGGCTTCTTCAGACCAATGCTGAGAAAAGGAGTCAATCCCTCAGCCAGGAGTCGATGTGGTCAATCCATTAAGATTGATGGAGTGAACACATCGACTCCAGGATGAGGGGACTCATTATCTCAAACTCCTCCTCATGTTCCACCTTTCTCTGCACTGGACCGAAGAAGCCACTGGCTCGCGAAACGTTTAAGAATTATCAACTTGACAGTTTTCTGAGTCATTTATTCACAATCTTGTCCTATACTCATAAAATAAATGACATTTGTACATGTGTATGACATAATGGACTTTATCTTGTAGTGAGATAGTAAATGACTGACCACAACTGAGGCAAACTGGTTCATTTGTGGCACTTTCACTGACAACATTTCGGCCCTGGGACCTTGATAACTTTGAGGTCCAAGGACTTCGAAATGTCTTCAGTAAAGGCGTCCTAAGCGAATGCATTCGTATCCATTTTTCCCCTCCTCACCTTTGCATTAACCTGTGCTCTAAGTTACCTTTGTTTATATCTGTAAATTTCGACAATCTACCATTAAAATACCCCTCGTAATCATTTCGAAAGCTGAACAATTTGTCTCAGCGTACTTGCAGCTCCCTTTGATATCGATCTCACCCTCAACTTATATCGATTCCACACAAGCCAGTATTTGCTGTATGTGCTGGAGATTCATCTCGCGTTTTCTCCATCCCCTCTTCCAGGTATGTGCAACAAGATGTTGGATTCGACCAACTGCAACATGCACGAGAATGTTTTATACTGCAAGACCTGCCACGGCCGCAAGTTTGGTCCTAAGGGCTACGGCTTCGGCGGTGGCGCTGCTGGTCTCAGCATGGACACTGGCTCACACCTCGAGTAAGTAGCCTCTGGCTCTTCGCCTCCATCTAGCTCCATGGTCGGAGACGGGAAACTAGGATGAGATGTTTACCTGGTAGATGTTTCGCTGTAAAGGAGAGAGGAGAGCTCTTCTTAGAGCGAAACGTTATCCAGATTTTATCCTGTTGGCGTCTCTGTCCGTAGTGGGGTATTGGGGTCACAGCGAGGTCCCACAGTCTTGCTTGGAGAGGCGCGCAGGTTCTGGTCCCAATGGGAGCTAACTTGTTCCCCCAGGGTGCCAAACTGATTCCCCAAGGGTACCAGGCTGATTCCCAAGAACAGCACACTGATTCCCCAAGAACACCAGACTGATTCCCCAAGAACACCAGACTGATTCCCCAAGGGCACCAGACTGATTCCCCAAGGGCACCAGACTGATTCCCCAAGAACACCGGACTGATCCCCCAAGAGCACCAGACTGATACCCCAAGGGCACCAGACTGATTCCCCAAGAACACCAGACTGATTCCCCAAGAACACCAGACTGATTCCCCATGAACACCAGACTGATTCCCCAAGAACATCAAATTGATCCCTCAAGGGCACCAGACTGATTCCCAAGAGCACCAGACTGATTCCCCAAGGGCTCCAGACTGATTCCCCAAGAACACCAGACTGATTCCCCAAGAACACCAGACTGATTCCCCAAGAACACCAGACTGATTCCCCAAGGGCACCAGACTTATTCCCCAAGAACACTAGACTTATTCCCCAAGAACACCAAACTGATTCCCCAAGGGCACCAGACTGATTCCCAAGAACACCAGACTGATTCCCAAGAACACCAGACTGATTCCCCAAGGGCACCAGACTGATTCCCCAAGGGCACCAGACTGATTCCCCAAGAACACCAGACTGATTACCTAAGGGCACCAGACTGATTCCCCAAGGGCACCAGACTGATTCCCCAAGGGCGCCAGACTGATTCCCCAAGAACACCAGACTGATTCCCCAAGGGCACCAGACTGATTCCCAAGAACACCAGACTGATTCCCCAAGGGCACCAGACTGATTCCCCAAGGGCACCAGACTGATTCCCCAAGAACACCAGACTGATTACCTAAGGGCACCAGACTGATTCCCCAAGGGCACCAGACTGATTCCCCAAGGGCACCAGACTGATTCCCCAAGGGCGCCAGACTGATTCCCCAAGAACACCAGACTGATTCCCCAAGGGCACCAGACTGATTCCCCAGGAACACCAGACTGATTCCCCAAGGGCACCAGACTGATTCCCCAAGAACACCAGACTGATTCCCCAAGGGCACCAGACTGACTCCCCAAGGGCACCAGACTGATTCCCCAAGGGCGCCAGACTGATTCCCCAAGAACACCAGACTGATTCCCCAAGGGCACCAGACTGATTCCCCAAGAACACCAGACTGATTCCCCAAGGGCACCAGACTGGCTCCACTTCGCCACCACCCAGTAAGGCTGGTGGGTACTGCCTGCCCACTACCACCATATATTCCTAGCAATTTCTCTATCAGTCTTTATCTCGTAGAATCTTAAGAGGCACCTAATACCATGTTTATTTTTCCACTATAATCTACCTTGTCTATAATTACTATCGCATTTCCTTTGTCTGTTTCGTAAGGTGAAGTCCAGGATCTTTCCTTAATTCATGGTATAACTTAACAAATCGTTGAAGACAATTGTATTGGGTTGTATTAGGTTAGGTTGTGTTGCAGAGGTGTGAGTACAGCTCACACCTCTGCAACACAATTACCATCAAAGATTTGTTAAGTTATACCAGGAATTAAGGAAAGATCCTGGACTTCACCTTACGAAACAGGCAAAGCAAATACGATGTTAACTATGGACAATGTAGATTATAGGGGAAAAATGAACATGTTATTAGAAGACGGGGGGGAACTTACGTGCCTCTTAAAGGTCCATTACATAACCCGCAGATAGGAGAGACGACCTTACGACGACGTTTCGCTCCGACTTTGACCATTTACAAGACTTGTCAGTGGTTCAAGTCGGACCGATACGTCGAGGTAACTTTCCCTCACTCCTATGCGCGGGTTATTTCTTTATTGTTCCAGTCACAGTATTGTGCCTTGTTGTTACTTAAAGGTCCATTGATGAGTTAGAGGCTAAAGTCATGTCACCGGCTCCCTGTTGACAATATCCTGACTCTTAAGAGTGATCTATATTACTGACATGTCACAGTTGTCAAATTAAGAGCTTTTTGTCTCAATTGTGAAGGAACAAAATACTTCTAGAGAGGTGAGGTTAGGGGTTACCTCTAGAGAGGTGAGGTTAGGGGTTACTTCTAGAGAGGTGAGGTTAGGGGTTACTTCTAGAGAGGTGAGGTTAGGGGTTACTTCTAGAGAAGTGAGGTTAGGGGTTACTTCAAGATATATGAAGTTTACTCTTTTAAATGTGAGGTTAGGGCAATGATTAAGAATGTGAGGTTAGATCAATGCTTAGAAATGTAGGGTTAGGGCAATGCTTAGAAATGTGAGGTTAGGGCAATGATTAGAAATGTGAGGTTAGGGCAATGATTAGAAATGTGAAAAGATGGGCAACTCCTCGAAATGTGAGACTGGGAACTTGAGCCCAGTATTACCAAGATAGACACAAGACCAGATTATAAGCTAAATTCTGGTAATGCCAAGAAGCTAGAAAACTTATGCTAGGAGTGCCATGAAGCTATAGAAGATCTATGAGTGCCAAGAAACTAGAAAAGTTAGGCTAGAAGTGCCAAGAAGCTAGAAAGCTTAAGGTGATGGTCTCTCTAGTAGAGCACATAGCAACACTAAGGCAAAACAGTATTCTCAATCACTTAAAAAAATTATCACAGTTCCTGGAAAAAATCCCAATTATCCCCCTTTTCAAAATTACCCCAAATCATCCAGGTGGGCGCCTAACCTGCAAGAAATATATATATTATTTAAATAACTGTATATTTGATCAAATATTTTTGATTTCTTAAGTTACATTGTTCAGTTTTCACAATCTTTTCTTTTTTTTTTATTTTCGACTCAAAATTGTTAATGATTTCCGTCTTGATGGTATATTCCCTCTCAGACAGAGGACAGAGGGCCTTCTCTTGTTATTTTTTTGTGTTTAATATGAATTTAGGTTAATTATAATATGGAACTTCTCAATTGGTTAAAGTGTCGAGAGCTGTAGCACACGATATTGCCCACAAGGTGCACCTATGTGCACTGGAGTGCTCTGGTGGGGTGAGTGAGCCACCAGAGCACCATAATAGTGTCCTTAGTATCAACACGCCTAACTTAAGTGTTTTCTTTTTTCAAATATTAAAAAATAATGCTAAACAATAACAACTTTTTCTAAAAAAGTAGTGATGGCCACTGTGGTAGTCTGTGGTAGTCTGTCTGTGGTAGTCGTGCACCCGCCAATAACCAGTTGGGAAGTTTGCCACTTTCTGTGACCAATACTGCTTTCAACAGGAAGCTTTCCAGCCACTTACACTCTTTCCCCCTTCCTCCCTACAGAAAGAACTAAGTCATCCTTCTGCGCCTCAGTATACAGTCTCGAAATTAAAAAAAAAAAAACGTATAGCTTTCGACTGGTGGCTGGAGGACTCTAGTACCTGGAATGAACAGTATATATTACCCTGGAGACGTTTTAGTAAACACACACACACACAACAATCATTTTTACGTCCAACACGTGAAATCAGAGTTAATTTATGCATGTTTCTCTTTGGATCTATCTCTCCCACTGTTGACCTTGCTTTCTCTCCCACTCTGTCTTTCTCTCTCTCTCTCTTTCGTCTCCAGTTATACTCAAACCAGCGCACCAGCAAAGGGAAAAAAAAATTGGACTGGCAACGTTCGAAGCTTTAAATTGTGATCATTGGCTTACTGCTATACAGTAAACGCTGCTCTCAAGCCTCTGCTACGCGCTTAATGCTTTAAACGCTACTCAACGCTACCAGCGGCTTCGGACGCACCTACGCCTCTTATTAAACGCTATTTACGCTCTACGCACTTCGAAACGACTCCCTGTCAGGAGGGCGCTGACGATCAAACACTAAAAGACACTCTGGTGCGGTCAGACCCAGCTGAAAGAGGCTGACACTTGTTATTGCAAAGCTGGCGTCAGCAGGGGTGATGTCCAGGCTTCGTAGTTCCTGTCATTTCTGCTGACAGCGAGGGAGGCTGACGCACCAGAGGTGAGTGTCAGCCGTTCTGGCGACCTCC